CAAAAATATGCATTTTGTGTTTTTTTTTACACAGCAGCTTTGTATTTGCTAAGATTGCCAAACAACCATATGATTGATGCCATTGTTATTAAAAATATATACAAGCGCCACATTAAAACAAATAACCAATATTGACTCTTTTCTTAAGCATGTTAATGATGATAGCAACATAAATAACAAAAACATTATTCAAAGCCAAGACTACTTACGAAAAAATTGTATTCCTTCATATCTACTTGTGGCTGTGGACTCTAATATTCAAAAACAGTTATGTGTGTAATAATGCAATATCACATGTATGCAAACCATCACAAGCACGCCACATCATAATTGCATTGATGCATGTGTTTACAAAATAAAGAATGGTTAGAAACAAGGACGTGTGGAGCTTGGATACAATGCACGGGGCGCAAAAAAGCAGGACATTGAAAATAGAAAACATTGTTTTTTAAAAAAGCCTCATTTTGCCTTGCTTCTCTGAAGCAACAGGCAAATATCATTGTTGTTTACCAGAAAATACAATATGCAGGTTTAATGCCGTCAAGCGGTCCAGTATTATTAAAACCCCACATTAGAAAATATTTTCAACCCATTAGGTTGACAGGCTCGGTTTACTTATTCCAACTTTTATTCCCGCACCGTTGTTGTCGCTATTTTTCATGTCCCCATTTGTCCTTATTGTGCTTTTTGCATTTTGCATTTTGCATTTTCCATTTTGTGCCTCGCACTGCATCAATTTATGAGTTTATTCTTCTCCACACTCGCAACTGGTGGCGCTGCTTGACGCGCATTGCGTTTGGACTCATCCCAACTGAGAAATCCCGGAAACCCCTAGTAATAAACAAGCTGGACCAGCTCGGAAGGAACCACAGTATCCTGCAATATTTTGTTTATAAACTACCATACACCCCCCGATACGTGCTTTTAGTAATGGCGCATGCTAAAATTCAATAGGGTATGTCATTGTTTTTAATTACTCGTCAACAAAAATGTTTGTTTTGTAGGATGAAAATGAGATTCGGGGGCGAATAAAAAAATTGTTTGCAATAAAAAACTATTTGTAATGAGCGCCAACCCACAGTCTGCCAGATATATAAAGAAAGCATTTTGATAATATTTCGTCAAAATTATGTTCTATACGCATTTATAGCTTATCTTTGGATCATCGTTTCATCACCCCGCATTTACTATTTTATATCTCTACACTCTCAATCCACCTGAGCACCGACACACATAACTGCTTATCTCCGGCCGAGCCTCGCGACAGTAACAGACCGCAGCATTGCGTTTCCACGAAACAGACTCTTTATCATTAGCAAAGGTCTTCTTCGTTACCTTACAGAAACAAAACCAACACATTATTTTACACAAATACCACTCGATAACAACATGGGCTGCCGCAAGTGCCGTGGATGGGAAGAGAGCGAGTGCTGCTTGGGCCAGCACACACAATGCGCCTGTGATTGCCATACATCCTGTGACTGCGCTTTCTGCTACACAATCCAGCTCAAGGCCAGAACACTATCTGTCCAAACGCAGTACCTCCATGTAGTATCGACAAGGACATTGTCCAGGATTAGTGTTGTTTTGCAATTAAGACCGATGACCAGCACATCATCCCTAAAGGACAACAATGGCTTGAAGTCAACAAAATTGCGGAGATTTTCACGTCGTAACTCTATTTTAAAACCATTGCGTCTTTTTGTCTGATTGAAAAGGAAAAATGCAATATATAAATATATCACTAATGTCATAACCAACCAATATGCCAATGGCACAGCCATATTTAAAACAATTAAGCTTTAGGAAGTATACACACCTAATTACGCATTTTCTGCACTTACTCCCTCCATGCACGTCAGACTTTGTTTGGAAGCATAGGGGAATGGTAACTTGCGCAAGCAACATTTTTTGTTTTGAATTTTTTGTGGGCAAATCATTAGAAGCAGTATTTTAATTGTCATTTTGTTCAGCGTGTGTTTGGCACATGGCTCTCATCAGTTCAATGTTAAAGGATAACTAATATATACACACACTCAACGACTATTGTAAAGCAGACCAACACAAAAACATATTTTGCTAGGACATAGATAAAAAATTTAATGAATAAACATAACGAAAACTGAAAATTAAAACATCAATAAATAATTGGTTTTCTTCCTCAAAAGTAATGTTTTTCAGATGAGGATAATACTTTCCGTACTTTTTAACAAAAGTAGCATGGACAAACCTTTTTCCATAAAATGTAGTTACGCTTGGAATTGCCAAAAACATAAACTTTATGCACCTCCAAAGTATTATATTTTTTAACTCATCATGTTACGCAGCCCGAGGAGATGGAAGTAGATGCTGAGGTTGAGAGTCGTGAAATAAGTTTCCATCTGAATACCGATTAATAGGGTACTAACTGGATTATGCAGGAGTAAGTTAGGGACGCATAATAATTATGCCTAGATATGCTCCCTATTTTTGCAATGCACGTGCACGAGCGTACAAATGTGAAAACCACAACATTGACTTGCCAAGGTACCAGTCTGCTCGCAGAAGAACCAGTTCTCGCAAACAGAGTGCACAATTGGAAATATGCACACCAAGGAGGACGAGACATATATAGTATGAGGCTGGCGCTAGCAGCACTTTAGAAACATTACTAATAAAACCCTTTATGCAGTTACCCCCGCTTTTCTAACACTGCCACTGTAGTGCTCTTTACACCCCCTCATAACAGTTGATCGAGTAGTTTAAAGTTATAAGCTGTAGTTTTAATATTCAAAATAGAGGATAATTTGAAAATAATTAGGAGTGAAGGAAAGAAAGAAAAAATGAGACGAAAAAAGCAGCCCTGGGTATGCTAGCTTACAAATATTGGATTTTCTAAATAATAATGATTAGAGTCGGCACTTCCAATCGGCTTGTCTGTTCAAGGTGGTTTGCCTCACAGCTCATATTGCTACAGCCGCAAAGTAAAGCATAGCTTCTGCTAGGGATATTGTGACAAACAGTCAGGGTGCCTGCCTTGTTTGTAATTTTGAAATAACATTAATTATATACATTGCTATTTTAGTTTGACAATATCAATTGAAAAACAATAAAACAAATATTAGCGTAGCATTAAGGATTAAGAAACACACAGACAAAACTGGCAGACTGTTTCAATAATTGGTTGTAAATGCTCTCCCTTTAACTTGTTTTAGATTATTCTAAAGTCATATGTACTAACTAATTCATAATATACTATGTCATGACTAGTAATATATAACGTAATTTCAGGTTGCTTTATGAAAAATTTTATTCTCACACTTTGCGCGAGTAAATTTATAGAATGTCATAGGGGGTACATTAAGAGCAGCGTTTGTATCTTTGAGATCAAAGTTTGGCCGCTTTTTATAATGTCACTATTGGTTAAAAAAGAAAGCAAAAGATAGTTGAAAACAACCAACATATAGCTTTAAATTATAATGCGCATTCTTTGGTTTTCTAATACCTTATTTTTATTTTTCTGCTTATTATGAACAAAAATGCGTCCATCACTAAGCAGCTACTACAGAACATCTTTGAAATAATACTGCCATATGTCGCCAATTGGTCAACGCATGCGTACAACTGAAAGTTATTTTTGCCAATACTGGCCGCTTTCCACGACTGGAGAGAGGCCGCCAGACCAATCGTGTATCGCACTGCATATATATGTTGCATCAAATACAGCACGTTTCTTAAATGGCGCCCAGAGGACGAATGCAACATTGTATAAATGTTCAACAGCATTGAATTGTCGATCATGACTATCAATTTCAAGTATTTTAAAAAGTTGCGAGTTTATCTTCCCTTTCCATCAGCAACACGTTGCTTTATTGAAAACGCGCAAAAAAATCCTGCAACTCGAAAAATGCGACTGGTTTGGCTTCACATCCTTGTATTACAAAAGCGGGTTGGATAATGAGCTGAATGAACCAGTCTGGCCAATAGAACACACGGTTGATTTGCTTACCAAGAACCTATCTAGAGTTTTAAAGTTGCCTTTGGTTTTGTATTGCGACCCGCCTGGGAAATCCATCACCCACCAGCTCTTGGTCGATGGGTACGCCAATCAGCTTTTGGCACTGGGTTGTAATTCTGCCATTAAACCACCAAAGTGCGAGTTTTCGAGGGCACTGCCGTTTTTAAGTATCAGCACAGACGACACGTCGTTACCACTGTTGTCGAGTATAAAAACCAAAGCTCCCAAACATTTGCATTTATCAAACGTCCCACACAATTTCACTTAGTCATAGCCGGGCAGTCGTTTGGAAAATGCAATGCCAAAGTTTAATAATCTAGCAGATTTGAAGCTACATTATGACAAAAGAGTTGATAGTAATGTCATAGAGCAAGACACGTTTTTCGCACGCGGCGAGCATTGTATTCAGTTTCAAAATCAAGAAAATATCTTGACAATATGGTTGTCAGTTTGGACACTATCCTTGAACACAACTCTCCATTTTTGTCTAAAAGCAGAGATGACTTGCAATTACACAATCAGACAGTGGAAAATCCAAAACCGAAATCGAAACCGAAACCGAAGCATATTTCAAAATTCTCAAGTTTCCGTGTTCAAATCGTACGGGCCAAAGTGGTTGACTAACAATGCAATCGAAAAGCTCTCAAATTACAGAGATTGTTCAGTAAATCATTTGCTATTTGGACATAACTCGACACTCAACAACAGCTTGATGCGCCCGTTTAGCATTGGCTATGCACTGCATCCATACACAAACTCGCTTTCCATTGCTGACGTCCGATCTCGAGTGTACTGTGACTATTGTTGACAAGTTGTAGCTTTATTTTTATTTTTTATTTTCATGTGAGGTGAATTTAAATTTAAATTCAAAGTATTAGTAAATGACATTGGCAAACAGCTTTATATCCTCGAGCTGACAGAGCTCATCAAAATGTGCGTCATGGAAGATCAAGTACAAGTCCAAACCATCATCCTGCTTGTTTGGCAGCAGACGAACTGTTCCCTCCATCTGGAAATAGTCGAACCCAAGGACGCTTGGTTCACCATATCCAAAGTCAAGTGTGTAGAATGGCATATACCGCAAATTGGTCATGCTAATATACGAGCTCTCCGGGGAGTTGCACACAATACTGAAAATATGGAACAACAAGCTGAGTTGGTGCTCTATAAGCAACATGTTTGCCTTTGTGTGGCCACTCTCGGTCTTTGAACACAATTCTCTAATAGACTCGGCTAGGTCCTTGTAAGATCCATCGAGGACCAATTGTGTTGACAATGGCGCAATGGCAGGACAAGTTGCATTGCCGACAAAGTGCTTTGGAATGGTAGATTGGGCGCGACAATTGTAAGGTGTCATTACATATGTTGCCTGCGGCGCTTTGCCGAATGCCTTTATGTTGGCCTGCACCATGTTTTTGGTCAGCAGAGTGACGAACGCCACGTTGATTGTCTGGTCCTTGTCAACGTGGTGGCGGATGCGCTCCAAGTTGGCACGGCTAAGATGCAGCACATGTAGATCCTCAATAGCCTGCAAGTCTGGTGTGGATAGCATCGATGATGCAATGGCCGCGGGTGAAATCTCGGGAAGCGGCGGCAAAATGCCCTTAAAGTAATTGACAAACGGAAGATCCAGCGGCTCGACCTTGGAAAAGCAGTCGTTTAACACTTGGCAGTCATTGAGTGGGGGCTTGACTAGCTGGTATTTGCCGTTCTTAATTTCCTCGAGGTTTCGCGCATACTCACTCCAGTGGTTGACAAATGCCATGGCGCCAATTCCATCAAAAATGCAGTGTGACATTGAGTACGAAATGCCGACATAGGAGTTGTCCTTGAACCGCAGAACTCTCACAATTACTGCCGAGTGGTCTCTATGGTATGAGGCGTGCGGGGGGGGGGGTGCGCAACCCCACTGTTGCAATAAAACCTGCGAGTGTTGAAGAACTGAATGTCGGACTTGTCCTCGGAGTCATTCGGGCAGGTCTCGAAAAAGGACTCGACCGGAGAGTCAACGATGATTTCGGCAATATCAGGCAAACAGAGATTTGACGAATCAATTGATATGATTCCCTTGCCAGCACTATTGACTGTTGGGCGGCCGACGAGGATTGGGTAGTGGTCGGCAATGAGCAAACATAGACTTTCTGCGAGCACGTCTAAAGGCATGAAGTTGGGGTTGCTGAGCTTGTTTTTGTACAGATAGATACTGTCTACCTTGAGCCTGAACATGGCAAGGTCGAGGATGCTCAGCTCAATCTCCTGGAACTTGATCTTGGCTAAATGGTTAAGGTGGTTTCCGACGATCATATTGAAAGTTAAAATCTGCTGGGTGTTTTCAAAATAAAAATGTAAATTTAAATAACAAAATTGAAAAACTCTTGTCGCCCATCTGTTCGCTTATAAACATGTCAGGATCTTTTAAAAACATGTATGACGCATATTGCTTTAGTGGATAGTCATTGCCTGGTCCTGATAAAACAGTAATGTATATACAAATATATACTGAATCCAAATAGGTGACAGAAAAATATGAAACAATGCATGCATAGGTGATAAAACATTTATATCTGTTTTTTGGCATTCCAGAACAATTGCAATTCATTTGTAGATGCAATGTGGCTCAGCGTCAGCGACTCCCAAACTTTGATCCATAATGGGGGATCACATATTTTATGTGTTGGCACTAGTATAATATGTAAATAATCTTGTAGAATGCATACATATTATTACTATACCTGTGCCTGTGATAGCAATGTAATGACAACCAGAATGTCTTTGCATTGCGACTTAGATCACTTTTACTGCGCAAAAACCTTATTTTAATTTTAGTAATTACAGAGATAACATTTTTTGTTGTTGCCCACAACTTGCAAACATTAGATTTCACCAAAAAAGCTCATACCTCCTCCTTAAACGAGACTTGCCGATAGCTTGTCCAGGCTCATAGGTCCATAATTGGTCCCCACAGGGGGCGTTGTTTGGTACGCGTTCGGTGTTTTCTAATTTTTCATTTAGTTCGTTCTAAAATAATATTCAATTTTCATCATTAAACGAGACTTGCCGAGTCTTAATTTTATTATTATTTTGATTGAATAATCTCTAACATCTAACTTTCATATAACTATATTCTCTATATACTCCGAAAAATATAAAATATGGATGACGACTTGCACAAAGACCTTTTTGGCGTCGACCACCTGTCAGACAGCAACTCTGACCTAGATATTCTCCTGGATGAAGGCGAAATACTAGAGCGCAACCTTGTCTTAAATCTCCCCATACCACCATCATTACAGTTACTGGGACATCAGCCTGAATGTATTACAGACATTCCAGGACTATTGATTTCGCGCAACTTGATTTCTCCAAACCTCTGCGCGCTTTATTTCAACTGGCTCGAATCTAGGTACTTTTCCTCCTCCCTCGGGTCTTCCATTAATGGTATAAACCAAGGTTTGCATTTCGGCACTCTACTCAACCCTGCCACACCACTAGGGTACCTCGCATATATAGCGCGGCAGCTTCTTCCAGGTCACGAATTCAACCAAGCGATCATAAACATGTACGATCCAGGGCAGGGTATTGGGGACCATGTGGATTTACTGCGGTTTGGGGATGGTATATGTGGGTTTAGCTTTGGATGTGCGGCAAAAATGCGTATGATCAAGGTTGATGGGGATGTAAGGAAGAGAGCAGAGAGGTATGCGGAGGAGAAGGAGGGTAGTAGTGGATATTTGGTAGATGTAAGGGTGGGAGACGTTTATGTGTTGAGCAGAGAGGCGAGATTTCAATGGACCCATGGGTTTCCTAGGCGCATTGGGGAGGTGGATAATGTGCTGGGGAGGAGGATATCGGTGACGCTGCGGTGGCTTTTAATCGATTCGTAGATTTTCGCAGAATCTGCCTCCTTCCCACTGGGTGAGATTGGCTTTTTTTGGAAAGAGGGAAGGATAAAAGTTCAGGGATCAAACGCGCGGTTTTTTCTTTTCTGGCAAGATCAAAAAAAGAAAACAAATAAAAAATTTTTACTCTACATTATGATTCATTTTATATTTTTTCTTTGCATTCTATCTCTTTAAAATATATATTGATACCTTTTTAAAACCAAGCAAAAAAATGACAGTTGCAAGCACTCCGCGCACAACCCCCAGCAAGCGGGTACTAGACTCAGCACAGTTCATCAGTAGGCGCAGCCACGACGTCTCCGTTCCAACCAAGGGCATCCTCCATGCCACCAAGGAGATCCAACATCGGATGAAGCAAAGCAACTACTCAACCAGCAGCTGGAAATCCCACCCACTCAACCCAAAAACCGCAGACTCATCCGCCATCGAGTGGATCTTCCTCATCGACGCACTAAACTTTTCCTTCTGGACCACTCGCCCCACCAATGAGCAATACGCGGTGACCTTGGATGAGAAGACGTACCGCGGGTACTGGTCGCTATGCGCAGCGGTGAATCGCGCTCAGCGTGAGGGTGTGGATCTGACGGATGCCCGGGTATATGCGCGGATATCGGAGGAGGAGCTGCGACAGGTGTTTCGCACGGATGATCCCCGGGTACAGGAGGAAATACCCATGTTCCAAGAGCGACTCCATGTGCTGCATGAGGTCGGTCGCGTGCTAGTGGATAAGTACCAGGGAAGGTTCGCCAATTTACTAAAGGAATGTCATGGATCAGCACAAGCAGTAGCCGAGAGGGTGGTAGGGGAATTCCCGTGCTTTCGCGACGAGCACTTGTATAGGGGAAAGTCGGTGGCCATGTATAAGCGGGCGCAGATCCTGGTGGCTGACCTGTGGGCATGCTTTGAGGGCTGTGGTGCTGGTGCGTTTAAGGACATCGACCAGGTGACGATGTTTGCTGACTACCGCGTGCCCCAGGCTCTGTACCATTTTGGCGCCCTAAGGTATTCGCCCAGGCTGATGAGGCATTTGAGGGAGGACGGAAAGCTGCCGTCTGGACACCCGTGGGAGGTCGAGATCCGCGCAAACAGCATTTGGGCCGTCGAGTGCATCCGCCGCCAGCTCCAAGCAGACGGATGCAAGGACATTAATGCTGTTTTGATAGACTTTTACATGTGGGATTATGCCAAGGATAATGCCGAGGCAATGCAGGATATCCCGATCCACCTGACACGCAGCGTGTTTTATTGAAAATGTAATATACTTTTATTTAAAGATTGTGATTATTTAGAATGGTATTTCAAGCTCTCTCTTTCTTTTCAGTACTTGTCGCTGTACACCGCCAGGTTGCGCAGCGGCTCCGAGTGCCATGAAGAGTCGCCATCGGGCTGGAAGAACGCCTCGGAGCCGTCGCGGCCAACCATAGTGCCGAGAGCGCCGCGGCGCGATCCACGAATAACAACCACGCGGTCGCGCTTCTCCGCGCGCACAGGCCGTACATCCATGCGCGCCACAGACGCACGGTCAACACGCTGGGACCCGCCATGCTCCAACACCAGCGTGGCCGACGCGCGGTCCGTGGAGATATCGCGGATGGTCGCACGCTGCTGGCCGGACGAGCCCAACTCTACAAGGACACGCGGCACCGCCCAGCTGAAAAAGCCACCGCCGCTATTGCCATTGCTGCTGTCATCGTTGGTGGATGGCGCAGCCGCAGGCGTGGGTGCGTCGTAGTAGCTTGGCGTCTCGTATGGGCCGCCTGGGGTCTGCGGGAGCGCTCCGGGCGTGAGTGGCGCCGGCGTGCCCCAGTTAGAGGGCGCCGTGCTGGAGCCGGCAGCCGGCGTTGCCCAGTTTGACGGCGCCGCAGCGGGTGTGCCCCAGTTGGACGACGCGCCGGGAGTGGTGGCCGCCGCAGCTGTGCCCATGTCCCAACCGCCGCCGCCACCAGAGCCTGAAGAGGGCGTAGCAGAAGAGCCGCCAGTCGCCCAGCCGCCAGAATTTGACGACGCGGGCGCAGCGTCCCAGCCGCCGCCGCCAGAATTTGACGACGCAGGTGCAGCGTCCCAGCCGCCAGCCGACGACGAGCCACCGACATCCCAGCCGCCGGCACCAGACGACGGTGCATTGTACCCGCCGCTACTGCCGCGCGCAGACGGCGCTCCCCACCCGCCGCCCGACGATGACGTGACAGCAGCAGCAGGCGGTGGCCGCCCGCCACCGCCACCGCCCGAGTTGGTGGCAAAGTCAACCGCCGGCACAGTGTCGCCCGACGGCAGGCGCACAGCTAGCTTGTCCTTGTCAATGTTAACGACGCGCGCGCTGGTGTGCAGCTCAACACGCGCCGACGTCGCCGCTGCGTCCTTGACTATGCCCACGTAGCCCTTGTACGGGCCACGCGTGGCCACCACGGTCTTGCCCACCAGCGGGTCGCGCCCGCGCAGCGCGCCCACGCGCCCGCCACGCACCGCAGCGCCGCCACGGCCGCGGCCACGCACACCAGGCGCCGTCCGGTCGACGCGCGTCGCGTATGGCTCCAGTGCCGCGGTCGCACGCGCGCTCAGGGACTCCAGCTGGCGCGTGCGCACGGCAAAGACCGCGTCGGCCGGCGCGTCGCGCGGCAGCACAAAGGTCGCGAACCGCGTTACCTGCAGCACTGAGCCGGAACGCTGCTGGCCGCCAACCTCGCGCACATGGTCGCCGCGCCGCAGCGCCGCGCCGTTGAAGTCGACGCCGCTGCGCTCAAAGCCGCCGCGCGCCGCACGCACGGCCGTCAGCGGCAGAGTGCGGGGTTCGCCGCGGTCGTCCAGCACAGTCACAGTGTCGCGCGCGGCCGTCAG